ATATAATAACATTATATTTTACATTGATAATATTATATTAACGTCAATTATATAATATATGATAACCAATAACTATTTTTTTTTATTTATGGCATACAATAACTCTATTTAAATGTTTATATACATACCTGTACATTTAATGAAAAATATCCTTTTCGATTTCTATAAATTTCTTCTATGTTATAGAATCTTGTACCAGTTAAGCGTATATGCGTGCAATCAATTGCTCCTTCAATGCCAGGTAAACCAATACCTCTATTACCACATCCGATATCTTTAAAAAGTCTTTGATTCTCTCGTATGGCATCTGGCAAAGAAGGCATTTTTACAAATCGGTTTAAGTGTCTTGCTAAAAGTAAAGATACTCGAAAAACTGTTCTTGAAACAGTTGGCTGTGAGACAATTATGGTATCTCCAAGTACTTGCTACAAAAATTAAACTAAATTAATAATATAATATTGTAACCTAGATGTATAAAACAAACATTCTCTGAAATATAATTAAACATGCTTTTTTAATATACTTTTACTTTATATATTTTATTATTTGAATTACATACTTGAAAACTTCCTGTTGCATAAAATCGTAGACAAATTAGCAATTGATACAATGGAGAAATGGGAAGACCACGGTTATTTTGACATATAAGTTCATTTTCTATTAGAGGTAAAATTCCATGTAGAATAGAATCTTTATTAAATCGGAAACGTCTTTTGAATTCTTGATTGTTGTAAATGTCAAACGGATTGATCCAGTCTCTTATGTATCTTTTTGGAGCTCGTACATAACCTTCATCATCGCTTATAAAATCATCATCAATTTCTTCTAAATCAATATTTCGTATACCTTCTATTTCCATTTTAAATAGAAATAAAACTTCACATTAACATTTGAAATAACGTGTGTCACTTTAAAAACTTTAAATTTAAACTGAGTACTGCCGTGTGTGTGATAAATCAGACAAGATATACTTAAGTCTACTATTAACTCGACTTGGATTTTTCCTTACTAGAGAAATGCTTAAAATCATCTTAGATGACTGTGAATTCGACCGTAGTAAGACTATCTTAAGATCGTGCTTACGTAAAATAAGATATGTTTATGAATCTTATTGAAACGTTTTAAGATTATCTTCAAATAAGATAGACTTCCATAAGTCACAGCTTGAACTTTTCTTAAGTTCCACCTTATTCCTTGTCTATGAATCTAAACGACATCTTAAGATCGAA